CTGGGTGTGGCCCAAAAACGGGGAAAAAAAGAGTGCATACCCTTATGCGAGAAAAAAATTCACAACTACAGAATAGACCCTCTGCACACTTGTTTTTAGCCTTACTTTTCAACTAAAGGTAAATATTATTTTTAAAATAGGAAACAGGGTGAAGTTTGTGCCACAATTGGCAGTGTTCTGGGGCTAGGCTAGTACTTACAAGTGCTGGGTGAGGTGGGGTCACTCCTGTCTCTTCTGAGGAACCATTGAATGGAATTGATTGAACCCTAGTCTCCCAACTGTTCTGACCCATTGGGCCATCTTTCAGGCCCCCAAATAAGAATTTTATGAGACTGGGGTGCTTCTTACAGTGCTAGGAAGACACTATTACAAATAATGGTTTTAATTTTGTTTGTTTTTATTTAGTTGCTGGGTGTGTTCAGGTCTTACTTCTAGATCTGTACTCAGAAAGGACCCTGGGGGGGCGGAGGGGCTCAGAGGCTTATATGATCAAATCTGAGCCAAGCAGAGTTTAAGGAAAAACACTTATCTATCCACTGTCTCTCTGGCCCCTACAAAGCACAATTTTGAAATTACTTAGTTCATTGTTTAATCCAATCCCTCAATGAGATATGTCATGATTTCATGAAGTTAAATTCATCTCAATTTTCTTTTTATCCTGGTTCACACAGTGGTTGATATTTTTTTTAACCTTTGTGATGTACAGGAAAAGTTCAATATTTGTGATGTACAATTCTATGAGTTCGATCAAATACATGGTCATGTCTCACCATCCCAATACAAACCAGTTCCATTACTCAAAAAACCCTGTATGTCCCCTTTGTAATCAAGCATTTCACCCTCCACAGTCCTTGATAGATACTCTACTTTCTTTTTATTCTTTGTTGTGTGTGTGTGTGTGTGGGGGGTGGTAGAGGGAATCCCCTCCGAACATTGCTCAAGATTCACTCTTAACTCTGTGTTTAGGAATTCCCCTGGGCTCAGGGACTGTATGTGGTAACGGGGATTGAATTAAGGTTGGCTGCATGCAAGGCAAGAGCCTTACCCACTGAAATACTTCTCCAGCCTGCCACTCTACTTTTCACCTTTATACTTTTTCCTTTACTAGAACGTCATGTGAATGGAATATTTTTTGCATGAATCAATAGCTCATTCAGTTTCACTGCCGAATGGTATTTATGGTGATACAGATGTGCTGTTATTTTTCAATTCATTTGCCTGTTGAGTGGCATCACAGTTGTTTCCAGGTTTTTGGTGATCATGAAGAAGATACTATAGACATTGTAAAACAGGTTTTCACGTCAAAATATGTTTTTACTATACTGGGTAGATGCCTAGAAATATTTCATGGAACATATGTAAGTATTGTTAACTTTATTAAATACACCAAGCAGTCTATAGAAGGAACTGTTCTACTTTCAGTTTACCTATAAAGAATGAAAACTCTTGTTGTTTCATATCTGCTCTAACATTGTCAGTATCTAGCCATTCTTATATAAAATATATTTCATTGGTGGTTTTTGAGTTACACTCAGCAGTGGTCAGTTGCTGTTCCTGGCTACTCAGGAGTGATCCCTGATGGTGCTCAGGGAACTATATGTGGTGCTGGAGAGTCAAACCAGAGTTGGTCACATGAAAGGCAAGTACCTTAACCCCTATAATATCTCTCCTGCACCATTTCCTCTTTTTAAAAACAAAACCATCCATATTGTAGTAAACATCTGTATATCTCTGGAACTCCTGTGAGAAGGACTTCCTACAGTATTGAGCCGGAATACTGTAGAGTCAGAGCAGCTTCAGTTTGACTGAAAAAAATTCTTCTCTGCACTTGAAAGAGACATGTTTCACTTATTTAGCTCATTACTATTTGCATCTCAACTCTTCATTCTTGTACATTCTTATGGTATCCTGGCTAGCCCTGAATCCTAGAGAAGGCACCTGTTTCAGCTTCTATTTGATAAAATCCTGGCAGAAGTGTCTGAGATGGACCCACATTAGCCTGATAAAGTGGTTGTTATTTGATCCCTGGTCCTGCTGGAGCCTGAGAGCTGGTAGCTCAGGTCTTTGAGGAGCAATGCCTCAGGGGGATTGAGCAGACTTCTCTTTTGCTGCATCCTGTTCCCTCAGAAGTACTTTCAGACACTCTGTATCTGCTATCACTAAGGTGCCCTTGGTCCAACTCCACCTGGTTCCTTGCATTCTGGGAGTGTTGGAACTTCTCAAGCTTCAAGCAGTGAAACCTTTGCCATCCTGTTTTGCTCAGAGTCACTTTCTGTCTTTGATCCTGCCACTTCCCACCTTTCTAGAATTCTGATGAAACCTGCATTGGTTCATACCTGGTGTGTTACCTCCCTTATTCCTATCTTTTTTCTCTTTCAGGGAATTCTCTATTGGGCGGGTTTAGGGGCTGGGATGGGTTTGCGCATAACTACTGGTGCTTAAGACCTATTCCTGACTCTGTGCTTAGCAGTGACCCCTTAGTTGTACTTGGGGGAATGTCATGTGGTAGTGGGGTTGAAACCAGGATTAGCTGCATTGCAAGGTGGGCACCATACCCACTGAACTAGCTCTTGCCCATCCAGGACTCTTTACACACACACACACACACACACACACACACACACACACACACCCACACAAACAACAAAATAGCTGTCTGCCAGCATGGCCATCCCAGTGTAGAGAATGCAGGGACTTCAGTTACAATGACCTGAAGACCCCAAACTCAGTCTCAGATTTCAAGAGTGCCTATTAATCCCCCAAACAAAATAAGATGCAATTTCCCAGCACTTTTAACTGTTGAAAGTGGGCTAGAGGAAACTTTATTCATTTGTTTCTCCAGAAAAACACTATAGCGTTTCTTGCACCCAAGGAATCAAACACACTGTCTCTACCTCCAGAGTCTTATTGAAAGGCTGATTCACAACTCTTTGAGAGGATTAGCATCAAGCCCACTTTTCTTTCCTATTTTGGGTTTGTGAGCCACACCTAGCAGGATTCAGGAACTATTTCTGGTTCGATGCTTGGGTGTGACCCCAGAGGTGCTCAGGGGACCAGATGTGATACTGGGAGTCGAACTAGGGTTGAGACCACTGCAGCCACATGTAAGTTCCTTCCCTCCTATACTGGCTCTAATTTCCATTTTTCAAGTGATAGAAGGTTCAGACAGATAGAACAGCTTTGGGTACATCTGGAACAGGATGTCCGATGCACAGTAGCCTAAATTATAACATACATGCTCGTTGGGTATAATCAGTGGGTAAAAATGGGGCTGTACTTACCCCACCTGCTCCCACCTCCTACACAGGTATGCCTTCTGGAATGCCTAAATGTCTTCCCAGTGACCCTGGACAAATGACACAGGGGTTCAGCGTCCTGCCCAGGACACACTCCCTGTCTTTGAATGCTTTATCACTGTCAAGTGTTGAGGCTTTGGCTACCTTTTGTCACCTTTTAGCCAGGTACATCTCCTCCCCTGGACTGTGGAAAAGCCTCTATTCCTCTAGGAAAACCAGACTTGTGGCTCTAGAAACAGACAGTCTGACTGACTCTTTCCTTATAACAAAATCTGAAGCAGGGGCTAGAGTGATGTACAACAGGTAGGGTGTTTGCCTTGCATGTGGATGACCTGAATTTGATTCCTGTCATCCCATTTGGTCCCGGGAGTCTGTCAAGAGTGATTCCTGAGTGCAGTCAGGAGTAACTTCTGAGCATGACGGGTGTAGCCAAAACAAAACAAAACAAAATTAAAAAAATCTGAACCTGGAGTCACTTGATAGTTTTTAACCCATGTCTTTATTTTTCCTGTGCAAATATGAATGTAGGCATAATAGTTAAGGCTTTTAAAATATGTACATTCTGAGAATACATTGCTAGTTAATATTTTGCTATTGTTATAAGTTTAGACTATTTTTCCTTGAGTTTAGACTATTTTTTTCCTTGAATACACACTTTAAATTAATATTAAAAAGTTAAAATGGTGAAGTGATTCATAATAAACAGAAAGAACCCATATAAATCCAACACCCTTAGACAAAAATGCAGCACCTGTTGTATCAACTACATTAGGGCCCAGTCACATAACTAAAGGACTTTAACATGAGGTCGCAGACATGCCCAAACTGGCAACACCCAGGGGGGCATTTTGTCAGAGAAGGAGACAGAAGAAGAAAGAGGGGGAGGAGGACAGACATGGGGGGAGGATGGAGAAGAAAGAAGAGGGAAGGAAGGAAAACTGAGGAGGAAAATCTCTACCTTGGAGAGTGACTTCTCTTTGGGTGATTTATAATACAGTGTAGCAAAGACTGGATCACCCTGGTCACCTCTCACAGCCAAGGAAAGTGAATATATAAACACTTTGTAAATATTAATGAAGTTTTATTTACTAGATTAGGGGGAAATCTAGGTTGTACCCTCGGCATACTTTAATGACTAGCTAAGATCTCTAGATACAAGGGGCCACTGCAAGAGACAGTGAAGGTACCTTCACTTCTGGGGTGAAGAGGTTATTCACAAAAAGTTAGGGCCTAAGGGTCTCACTTTTTACAAATATCGGTGAGCTTTGCTTGGCTTAGGACCTCATCCAAACATCCAGCTTGCAAAGGTTTCCCTGGACAAGCTCTCTTTCTCCACCCACATTGAGAGGGACTACTTAAGACTTAGACATAGAAGGCCCACCAAGTCCTTCCCGTGAGGGCAGAGGCCTGCCTCATGGCAGCAGGACACCAGGGAGTCTGGATTTGACCCACAGATCTTGAAATGACTCCAAAGAGTTTCCAAAGGCCATGGGGGCTCAGGCTCAGAAAAACATATGAAGAGATACCAGAATCAGAACTCTTCCCAGAATCTGTCATGTAAGGCTGAATTTGAATTACCAGGTCATATTTTCAACTTCTGTTATATTTCCTTTATCAGTAGGTGTTGGATGAGGTGTGGAGGGGGGAAGGGGGATGGTGCTAAATTGCCCTCCTGTGAGAAAATAAAATCCAAAATTAAAAGTTCCTCATGCCTAAAAGTGTTCTGTGCCTATACTTGCATATACTTGGGGGAGCACCTAATTTAACCATGCCTGGCTGCATCCACACTTTCACACAGGCCCCACATAACTTGTCACTTAACTGGGAGTGATATTGAGTCCTGATTTCTAAAAGAGGAAACCATTTCTCCATAGGCCACACATCTTGCAAAAGGTAAGGAGAGCTGGAAGCCTGGCCAAGTCTCACGCTATTTGGCTACAGCACATGGGATTGTGCAGGCTGACCTTGCCTGGTGAAACAGATGTACCTTCTCATTGTTTTGCGCTCTCTGTTTCTGCAGCAGGCGCCTCCCCATTGGACTGGAGCTCCCTCCCACCTGTCTTCACTTGGCTTTCCAGATGGCTGAGACGTTGCTTCAGTTTCATCTGCGAGGCATTGTATTCGGCCAGGAGCCGTGCAAACCTGGTCTGCAGGATGTCTAGGGAGGATTCCAGATGCTCCACTTTCTCCTCGATGTTCTGGGAATCCTCCCCAGCTCTGGCCAGTTCCTCATCGATAAGATTGTCCTTCATCAGGATCTGCCGTCCTTTCTCCTCCAGGGCCTTCTTGGCTTCAGGGTACTCAGTGAGAGCTTCCATCAGGTCATCCTTGGAGAGGCAGAACAGGTCTGAGTAGCCAATGCTCCTGATGTTGGCTGTCCTGCGGTTCCCTGACTTGCTCCCTTTGATGTTTAAGATGCTAATCTCCCCAAAGTAGCTCCCATCACTGAGCACCACAAACTGAGTGATGCCATCGTCAGCCACCACAGCCAACTTGCCCTCCTTGATGATGTACATTTCCCGTCCAATGTCCCCCTTCTTGCAGATGTAATCCCCAGGACTGAACACAGCGGGTCGCAGCTTCAGCACCAGCTCCACCAGCAGCCCTGCCTCACAGTCCTGGAAGATCCGTACCTTCCTCAGTGTGTCCAGGTGAACGTTGATGGCGATCTCAGCCTTCAGCTTGTCTGGAAGGTTTTTGAGCACCTCCTTCTCATCTACTGTCTTCCTGTTGGCCCATAGGTAGTCAAACCAGCGGATGACCCTTGTCTCCAAGTCCTTTGTCACCTTGCGGAACTGCATATACTGTTTGATGGAGTCAATCTTGGCCTGGAACTCAGCCCGGGAAGCATTCATGTTGGAGATCATGGAGCCCACATTGCCCACGATGGTGGCAAAGATAAGAACACCCACCAGGAAGTCAATGACGACGAAGAGATACTCCTCATCTTTCACAGGGGGTGGAGTCTCCCCAATGGTGGTCAGGGTCAAGGTGGACCAGTAGAGACTGTAAATATACTTCCTGGAGAGGCGCCCATACTCTGGGATTGAGACATTTGGATAAACCCAGGAATCTGTCCCAAAACCAATGGACTTGGAAATGGCAAAGTAGATGCAGGCATTCCAGTGGATGATGATGAGAATGTACAACACCAGGTTCCCAATCCTGAACATATTGGGGTAGTTGGTCCTTGTTTCTGTCCTATCAAAGAATTCAAAGAGCCGGGGGAATCTCAGTAGACGGTTGAACCTTAGTTCTGGGAAGTTCACTCCCAGCTTTAAATAAGCCAGGTCCGTGGGGACCAGGGACAGCACATCTAGCTTGAAATGCAGGGTCTTGGTGTAATGCTGCCACAGCCTCTTTGTATCCTTGACCATCAAGCCCTGCTCCAGGAAGCCTGGAAAGAATGGAAAGAAATAAGAATTCTTCAATGATGGCCCACAGAAAGGTATTTCATTAGTGATACCACAAGATATAGTTATATGCATTCTATAGGAACTATTTTATCTATTGATCTTGAATTTTGGGTTACCTCAGACAGTGCTTAGGGAAGATCATGGCATGGTGCTGGGGTGTCTGAGATAGAATTTTAAGACACACACTGCAGAAAATGAACTCTGATATTTTTATTTTTGGTTGTGTGCCAATATACATTGTTAAATTAAAAATACAGGTCTAGCACTGTAGCACTGTCCTCCTATTGTTCATCGATTTGCTCGAGCGGGCCCAGTAACGTCTCATCATGAGACTTGTTGTTACTGTGTCTGGCATATCGAATACGTCACGGGTAGCTTTCCAGGCTTTGCTGTGTGGCAAGATACTTTCAGTAGTTTGCCGGGCTCTCCAAGAGGGGCAGAGGAATCGAACCAAGCTCGGCCCAGCTGGCTGCATGCAAAGAAAACGCCCTACCGCTGTGCTATCACTCCAGCCAATACAAGATTACCGCACCATATTTGATTACTGCGCCATATTTGATGGGGTTCAAATATGGTTTGAACCATGAGAACACTGCAAGAATGATTAGAGGTTGCCCTAAAAGCCTCTATCCCCCTCGGAGAGCCTGGCAAGCTACCAAGCATGTTCCATCCACACAGCAGAGCCTGGCAAGATATCCGCAGTGTATTTGATATGCCCAAACCAGTAGATACAATGGGTCTCATTCCCCTTACCCTGAAAGAGCCACCAATATGGCAGCGTTAAGAAGGATGAGGAAGGAGAGGCTGATAAAATCTCAAGGCCGAACTAGGCTACCAAAACAAAGAAGGACAAAAATTAGTGTCTGTACTTTCAATGCATGTACGCTGGCATCTGATGCATCATCAAGGACCTGATGTTGCAAGTGCAAAAGATCAAGTACAACATCATTGGTCTGACCGAGACAAGAAGGCATCAATCACATCACGTTGTTTTTGACATTGGAGAAGAACTGTTCCTCGGAACATGTGACAAAAGAGGCATCAGTGGTGTTGGTGTCCTTGTCAACACAAACTTGGCCATAAACATTGATTCATTTGAAAGCCTAACAACCCAAATCAGATGATTACACATGAATAGATGTGGCTCACTGCCGGCAGTTTCTATCTTCCTTGTCTACGCACTAACATCCAATTATGATGAAGGAGGAATTGAGAAGTTCTACAAGGATCTGGAGAAGTTCTATAAAGAAGACCACACCTTCTACAAGATCATTGTCAGTGATTTTATTGCCAAGGTAGGACCAAGAAGATTAGCCAAAGAACTCCACATCAGGACCCATGGCCTAGAATGGAACGAACAGGGTGAAAGACTGTCTGAGTTCATCATGTCGACCAAGACCATCCATGGTAATACACAATTCCAGAAGGCTGAATCTAAACATTGGACATGGGAGTCTCCCGGTGGATGGATCCACAACGAAATTGATCACATCATATTCAATCGATGATCTTGCCTGACCAGTGTCGCTATTGTCCCAAAATTCCAAACAGGATCGGACCACCATCTCCTTCATGCAATATTCTACTTCACGGAATGGGGAGAAAGGACTGCAAAGTTTAAGAAGAGAATTCCCAGAACGAATACCAACCGGGAACTTTTTGGCACTATTGTGGCAACATGGGAAGATGCCGTCATTGACAACATTGACGAGGAGTATGATCGACTGATTCAGCACCTCCATGATTGTGCAAAGAACTCAAGAGAGAGATAGCCACAAAAAGACACCTATGTTTGAAAACTCTCGAGCTTATTTCCCAACGTAGCTTGGTGCAAGCCTCAGGCAACTGCAAGCGAACGTCCAAGCTCGCAAAGCAGTGCAGAGAAGCGATAAAGGAAGACCTCAAAGAGAGAAGAGCAGCAGTGCTGGCAGATGTGGCAGAAGCTGGGAAAAGCATTTGCAATGCCCGCCTGTCTTTTGCCAACTACCAGACCAAGATGACTGCCCTCCGATGTCCTGATGGATCTATCACATCTTCCAGAACAGCAGTGGAGAAGATTATCCATGACTTCTACACAAATCTCTTTGATAGCCATGTCCACTTGCTGACATACCAAATTCTGCAGGATGGATATGTCATTCCCAACATTCTCCCTTCTGAAATCTGACACGCCATTTCATCAGTAAAGAATCGAACAGTACCCGGCCCAGACAAGGTCAGACCCAAACACCTGAAGAACCTGCCATCAGTACTCATCAATACACTGGGTTGGCTCTTCACACGCTACCTGTCTAAATGCAAGATTCTGTCCCAATGGAAAACCAGCAGGACCATACTACTGTACAAGAAGGGAGACATCCATGACATTGGCAACTATCGCCTGATCTGCCTATTGTCTGTCATCTACAAGCTGTTCACTTGAGTCATCCTAAATAGGATTGGCAGAACACTAGATGAAGGACAACCATGCAAGCAAGCTGATTTCTGAAAAGGAGTCAGTGCAATCGACCATATCCACATGATAACCAAGCTCATTGAGGTTTGTCGGGAGTTCAAGATGCCGCTCTGTTTAATGTTCATTGATTTAAAGAAAGCCTTTGATTATGTTGAGACAGAAGTGGTCATCGAAGCCCTAGCCAATCAGGGTATTCAAACTCAATACATCAGGATCCTCCATGAGCTGTATTGCAGATTCACTACCAGGATCTCACCATTCTACAGGGAGGTGATCATTGACATCAAGAGAGGGGTTCAGCACAGTGATACCATTTCACTGAAACTCTTCAGTGCCACCCTCGAGAACGTCATGCAACAACTGGAATGGGAAGGAATGGGAGTGAAGATAGAAGGTCGGCAGCTACACCACCTTCGCTTTGCTGATGATATTGTTCTAATAACACCAAGCATCAGTCAAGTGGCACAAATGCTGGCCGACTTCGACCATGATTGTCGAAAAGTCTGACTACAGCTGAATCTCATGAAGACAATGTTTATGAGAAACGGTCTCATTCCTGATGTTCCATTCACTCTCAACGGGATGAACATCTCTGAATGCAACATTTATGTGTACCTTGGTCTAGAAGTCAACATGACGAATGACTGGCACCTGAGTTGCACAGGAGGAAGAGAGCGGCTTCGAACACCTTCAAGAGCATCAACGAAATAGCTAAGAGGATGAAGAACCTCCAGCTCTGGGCACATCTCTTCAATTCCACTGTTCTTCCTGCATTAACATATGCCTCAGAGACCTGGGCCCTACGCAAACAGGATGAGAACGCTATTCGTGTCTCCCAAAGAGGAATCGAATGAGTTATGCTTGGAGTATCATGCTTCACTCAAATGAGAGAAAGAATCCGGAGTTCCGACCTCCATCAATGGTCAAGAATCAGGGATGCTGTCTCATTTGCCAAGGCATCGAAAATCAGATGGGCTGGATACGTAATGAGATTTGGAGATGACCACTGGACTAGAACCATTACCGACTGGATTCCATGGGACGTCGAACGATTGCATGGCCGCCCACCTATGAGATGGTTAGACTTCTTTGTCAAGATCCTGAATGATTGGTTTGAGGCTGTTCTTGTTCCTAGATCGAGCAGATGCCATTGGAGTACACTAGCCCGTGACAGGGATGAATGGAGACGTTACTGGCACCTGCTCAAGCAAATCTATGAGTAATGGGATGTCAAATGATCAAGAAATGAGGATTAAGCTTTTTGTTTTGTTTTGGCACCACACCCAGTGATATTCAGGAACTATACCTGGTTCTGTGCTGTCTGATTTAGAGCTTCCAGCCCCACTTGTCCTTTTGTGAGTGTTGAGAGAGGAAAAGGTATGTTTTGTTATATGAAATAGGGGACTCACAAAAGTACCTAAGGATGGGACAGGAAGAACCAGTCCTGCGATTGGACAGTTGGAATTTCTAGTCTCACCTTTGACTTTTGGTAGAGGGAGAGACTGGAGACTGGCATTGGCTGCCAATGGCCAGTGGTTTTAGCAGTCATACCTAAGTAATGGAAGCTCCACACCCACCCACAAGATTCAGAGCTTCCTGCTGACCTGAGGCTGGGGACCTCACTCTTGGCTTCTACTCCTCTAGCAATAGATTCATTTATTTTTCTTCCGTGAGGGAAGTCAGTGATCCAGTAAGTAAATGGTTTTCCCAAGTTCTGTGAGCTACTCTGGCAAATCAACTGAGGTTAAGGCTGGTGTTAGGGTAGCCTCCAAAGGGCAACTTTTTGTCCAAACACATGGGATCTGAGCTCTTAGCTGAGACTGAGCTCTTGGCTGCTGGAGTCTGATGCCTGTGGACAATATTGGAGTTGAATAGAAATCTTGGACTCTCTGCTGGTGTCCAGGGACTGGTTGTCTACCAGTGTGGGAAGCAAGCATGTAGGAATTAGGTCCAGGGGTCCTTTCAGTGTCCATGTTCAAGCAGGGCTCTGGCTGAGTGAGGGTGAGTGGTACAGGGACATGTGTATACCAGGTGCGTTCAGTTCTCTCTGAATCTGGTCGATCAGAGCCCCTGAATCAGCAGAATTTATGTCCTTGGAGTAGCAGACTGCTAGAACTGGTGGGGACCCAGGAAAGGCTTGAGCTGGGTACCAGGGTTTCTCTCAGGGATAATGCTGTGCACTGAGGTGAAAGCAGTTGGGTACAGACTAGTTCTGCTGGTTTGTGACTGTGGTCTTTAGGCAAATCAACCAGCACCTCTGCGCCTCAGTTTCTGAATCTCTGAAATGGGTGCAATCATGACTACTCTTCTCGCCTCATGCAGCAATTCTAAGAGAAGATAAGATGTGCTTGAAATGCCATGTACATCATGAAGCCACATGGAAAGATTTTACTGTAATCTGTTTTAGATTACTGATGGTTTAGACTTAGAGTTGTAAAATTTCAGAAGTGACAAGCAGGGCATCTCCCAGCTTATATGTTTTGTGAAGATGAAAAAGTGGTTTGCCCAAGATGCACAGTGTGGAGCCACAGACTGGGTAGGAGTGTAGCCCTCATATGCAGCCTGAGGTCAGGCAAAAGAAGGCCCAGGCAGCCACCAAAGACTGCTGTGGATTTTACTCTCCAGGGGCTAAAATGTCTCTAAAACCCATGGAGTAATAAACCCTGAATCTCCCGATTAGCTCTGAAGACCAACCTCAGAATTGACTGAGCTCTGCTCCCCCTCCCTGTGGGGGTACAGTCATAGGAAGTATGGCCTTCCCACTTCATAGGTGTTCACATGACACAATGGTGACCACAGCTCAGGCCCTGTCCAGGCAGTCACTGTCGGAAGAGCTGAGATAACCCCCGACACCCACTACCATGGAAGAACACACCAGACATGTGTGACTTTCAAGATAAGAGGTAGGTAATATCCACCTGAGTGTTCTGGACAGAATCCCCCAACATTTCCGGGCCCCTGACCCTCTCCTGGTGCCTAGTCTGGGATCTGTGGCAGGGAAGTGACTGGACCAGGCACACTCACCTGTCCGGGCTCGCACCAGCACATCCAGGATGTAGAGGCTGTCTGCCATGTAGTCCAGGACCAGCCACAGCACCAGGTGTTCAGACTGTAGCTCATCAAAGCAGGCCCTACACAAGTGCAAAGGAGACAGAATTGGCACAGACAGGGTGGGCAGGCCCAGGGCTCTGTGTGCCCTCCACAGTCTGCAGCTGGACCTGCCCTATGTCCTTACAACTCTTGCCAAGGAAACTTTGGCATTGTGATGTTTCCCCAAGAGTGTTAACCTGGTAGTGACCACAAAGCAAGGGGAACTTGCTGCCCTGCAGAAACTAGGGGGCCTCTGGAGTGGCAGCATTTTTGATCCTTGAAGGATGGAATCTGGAAGTGGTCTAAAACCCGTAAGACTTGCTGAGATTACAACAGAGCATGCCAAAGCATATGTCCCCCTTTCTTCATCTTCCTGCTCACTGTTTCTCTAGTATGAATCCCAACCTGGCTCTCTCTGAGAAGAGCAGTGGCTGGCTCCTGTGTCTTGGCAAGCCTCCTACTCTCCTCCCAGCAATAGCCCGGACCTCACTCAGAGCTGGTGCCTTCCTAGCATCCTGCAGGCATTTGAGGAAGAGGCTTGAGATTGCCTTTTCCTCCACTACCTGAACTCCCCACCCCACTACCCATTACTTTCCCTCAGAAGAGGAGGAGGTGGCCCAGGCTTGCTGGTCCCCAACCCCAGCTGATACTTGGAGGGCAGTAGGTCCCTCCATGCCAAGAGGGTCTGGAGTGGCCCAAACCACAGCTGAGGAGCAGGGTAGTTGCTCCCCCTGCAGACAAGCTCCGGGACTCCAAAGGCGTCTGTCTGTCCAGTTAGTCACCCTGTCCTTCAGGCAGGTCCAGGGACATTCCAAAGATTTCCCCAGTCACCCTTCAGTCTCTAGGGACTGTCCCCAGCCAGATCCAGTGTCCCTCCCACATGCTTGACCTGTGTCCTTGTTCATGGTCATGCTTTGAATCATGCAGGCTTCCTTCTTCCTCCCCACAAGTGCTTTATTTACCCATCTGCTCCCCCCAGCATACCTGGGAAAATTCCCCAAACACACCAGCCCCTCCCCAGGGAAGGGCAGTGTCTCACCCCGCAGTCACATCCAAGGCCACACAGGGACCCCCAGAGCTCAAGCTTCCCTCAGAAACGCCATGACCTCGGCCCCTGCCTCCTCTCTGCACACCTTGCTCAGAAATTCCACCCCCTACCCCATTAGGGGACAGTCAGCACCTCCTGTCTGCCCCCGCAGACTTCTCAGAATGTTCCCCAAGCCCTGCTTCCCACCAGGACCAGAAACGTGCCTGCTCTGCGATGCTCAGTGACCACTGCATTTGCTCACAGAAGCACATGCAACCCCCGCCTTCTGCTGAGAAGTCCCCTCCCGCTCCCCTCACCCTCAGAGGCAGAGCCTGGCACATCCCAAATAGCAGGTGTTGAGGAGAGCCCCCTCCCCCCATCCTTCATTTGATGAGCAGCTGCTCACCCAGGCATCCCGCCCCGGAGAGCCTCCCTCTGTTTAGCCCGCAGCCAGCCCCTGCAGCTGGACTTGTTTGCTTAGGCGCTTCCCAGAGCCCACGTCTACCCTCTCAAAGCAAATTTCAGTCCTGTTGGCAGCTTGGGGATGCCCCAGAGCAAGCCCCACTTGCCCTCAGAAGAGCAGGAACTCGGCCCTGCGTTTACTTTCTGCAGCCAAAGTGTTGGCATCGGGGAGCTGAGGCCCTTCCCCACCATGCAGACCTGCCAGAACCTCCAAGTTAGGAGCCACCGGCTCAGCCGGTGGCTGTCCAGAGGGGCCCCACACTCTAGCCTTGAGGAGCAGCTCAGCTGGTGTATGGCCTGGCTGCCGCCCCCTCTGTGTAGACGCTCCTACCTGCACACCAGCAGACACCAATTGTAGAAGACCGGCAGGGCCAGGATGGTGAGCCAGCGGTAGTACAAGTCACTAGAGGGATCCAGCACCACGGCAGCCTTCCTGGAAACACAACAAAGCCAAAGCTATGCGACACGGGGCCTCAAAGTAACCGAGCCTTTGGGACCTGGATTAGCTCAGAGACCCCCTAGGCCAGGACAGCTCCCTGCCTGTCTCAGGGAATGCCCAGGTGGGGCCCCTATATGGGAAGTTAGAATGGGAAGGTTCCCCACCCCTGGTGTTCAGCTTCCCAGGAAGCCTGGAAACAGAAGCTGTTGTCCATCCCCCCCCCCACCCCTGAGGGCCCTGTGGGATCACCATGCCCTCCAGGACATCAGGGATGGTGATAATGCAGCTCAGAGCAGAGGGGGCTGGTGGAAACACTGATTCGCAGGCCCACTCAGCGCCTGCCTTCCAGCCAGGACCCAGAAACCTGAGTTCACGCTGGGGGCGGGTCTGAGATGGTTCTCATGAGCACAGCGCTAGGCTCTGGAGTTTGCCCCCGGGACGCCCTGCACCAGGCCCGCTGTGCCCCTGTCCACACTGTAGGCTCCTTACCAGCCCTCACCCTGGGTTCCCAAAGGCCACAATTCTTCCGGGCCAGGCCGTGGGCACCAATACCGGGGCAGGTTCTGATTTTACTCTCCGAGAATCCGCGTTGACGAGCCACACCTGAAATGCTACTTTTCCCAGTCTGTAGGGCCCCTCTGGTTTCCATGCAGGCCCCGCTAGCAGGTCTGTTCCTGCACCCCGAGGAGACTCTGGCCTCCTTTGTCTTTGTCTAGACTCGGCCAGTGCAAGATCAACGACTTCGCCGGCTTTTGTAAAGTTCCGTATTCCTGGCACCATTGGGCTTGGATTAGGTTTGTGAGTAGGCTGTTTTCCGTTGTGTGGACAGCCGCTTAGGCCGGCCAGCAATAGGGTGATTGTGGGGGGGGGGGGGTGGCGCGTAGATGGGTGGGAGCAAATGTTTGATCACCTGAGTGATTGCTGGCAGCAGGTATCCTTCTCCCTAAGTCCCGCCCAGGTGCCCACTGCTGGGACGGGCCCCTGCACAAGTGAACACTTCCAAGGTCTCTGGAAGCTGCTCACCTCCTGGCAGGGGTGTCTTTTCTGAGGTCTGAGTCTGCCCTCTCTTGGGGCTCTGAGACTCGGGGCTGATCCCCAGGTTGGGGACACACCTGCTATGACCACTAACCGCCCCTGGAGGCACCTTGTCTCAGTACTTACTCCTCGGGTTTGGGACAGTTTTTCTTTTTCTCATCTTCCTTTTTCTCTCTCTCCTCCTTTCTCTCCTTGTCACTGAATGATATAGGGTGACATTTAGTAGTTTTCATAACCGAGAACAGTACCACGGTGGAGAGGCTAGACTACAGCGAGGAGAGGATGTAGTGTAGGAAATGTGTGTTTCCAGCACACAGGGGTGACGAGAGACTATTGATGACTTCATTATAATTGGGTTGATAATTAAAATTATTGTTACCCAAGTGTAAGGTAAACTATCTTGTGGAAGCCGACAGTGTGTACACAGAAGCACGCTTAGTGGTTCCTTGGAACATGCTAGACTGTCCTCGGCCTCTGGGAAGTCACAGTCCGGTGCTGGAGACACCTGAGGGTCATGGGAAGGAAAGGGCAACCCCCCACTGACAGAGTAGAAAAGTCACTTAGAGTTTTGGAGGTGCCATGGAAAACTTGTTGTGTGAAGGAAAGAAGAGTCAACTCTCAAAGGAAACCTGGCTTTGAGAAAGAGTGAGGCAAGATGGGCAGAGATGGGGACATGTCCCAACTTGAAGGGCTAAGAGCAAAGGGTGGGGCTTTCCTTGCATCCACACCTGGAGGAGAGCCCCAAGGGCAAATGTCTACTCAATGTGCAGCTCAAATTCATTTCCCTTTCCTTCTGGCAGCCTTGCATGGATGAGGACCCTTATAAAACATCTCTGCTCATAGTTCTGAGAGCGCTCTTGCACACTGAATAGCTGAGAGAGACTACCTAACAGAGAGCATCTATCAGAGTTCTCCAAAGACCCTGGGACTGATAAATGTGTCTCTGATTTAACACAACTTGAACAAGACCAATATCTTTTGCATATCATGTCATCAGGAAATAATCCAACATGTGTGCAAAATGCATAAGGAAGATTTGTCCTTTACTACAGTACAGTAGTGGAGGGAGAATTCAATACACCACTCATTGTTGGGCAGACTAACCAGACAAAGCAGAAGCAAAAGACCTAAAAGAGTAACTGGAAGAACTGGGTATAATAGACATATTCAAGACCCCCTGTCCCCCTCAAAATCGAATACACATTAATCTCCAGTACAAATGGGACACTGCTCAGATATGTCACATGCTGGGACACTTTCCAAATGCACAAAATCACAAAAATAGAAATCATACCATGTATCTTCTCAGACTACAAAGCCACAAAAGTAGAAATCAGTCACCAAAAAAAGTCTATAAAAGAAAGTATTTGGAAACTGAACAACATACTTTTAAGTAACAACTGGATCAAAGAAGAAATCCAAGAAGAAATAAAAAGATTTCTCAAAACAAACAAGAATGAAGGCACTAACTTCTTTTAAAGGATCGAAAGTTTTTGAATTCACTTTGAATTTACTTTTGTGAGTGATGTGAGCCACAGTATTTTACACAGGAGTATCCAGTTTTCCCAACACTATTTGTTGAGACTTCTGTCAATCCATTTCATGGATTAAAAACCTTAAGATTATACAAGAGTCCATAAAATACGTTGAAGTATAGCCAGAATCTCCTGGAAATTGAATTCAGAGGTGTTTTAAATGATATGACCACGGAGGCAAAAACAATGAGATCAGAAACAATTGGGACTTCATCAGATTATAAAGTTCTGCACAGCAAATGAAACTCAAACTATAATAAACTCTACATTGAATGGAAGAAAATGTTGGCACATAATATATCAGATAAAGGGTTGATATCCAAGATCTATAAAATAACTACAAAATTCAACAATGATGAAAGTTCAACAACTCCATCCAAAAATGGGGAGAGGAGATAAACATGTTCCCAAATAAAATATACAGATGGTGCCAAAAGGCATATGAAAAAGTGCTCACGTGGGAAATACAAATTTAAACAATAAGATATCATCTCACACCAGTGAGAATGGCATATATCAAAATGGCATATACGAACCAGTGTTGGTGGGGATGTGATGAGAAAGAAACATTCATCTACTGTTGGTGGGAGTGTCATCTGCTTCAACCTCTATGGAAACCTCTATAGAGATCTCTCAAAAAAAGTATGAATTTTTCATTACCATATGACCTAGCAATACCAGATTTTTGCCATGTGTTTTGAAAGTGTTTTGAAAGTATATATGTACACCTATGTTCATCACAGTGCTTAGTACAACAACCAAGTATGGAAACAATCCAAATGCACAACTATGTATTAAAGAATAAATTAAAAAGTTGTGATATGGGGCTGGAGCGATAGCACAGTGGGTAGGGCATTTGCCTTGCATGCGACCGACCTGGGTTTGATTCCCGGTATCCCATATGGTCCCCTGAGCACCGCCAGGAGTAATTCCTGAGTGCATGAGCCAGGAGTAACTCCTCTGCATCGCTGGGTGTGACCAAAAAAGAAAAAAAAAGTTGTGATATATATATATGTATATATATATATATATACACACACATATACACACAAAGGAATACCCTGCAGCTCTAAGAAAGAGCAAAATCATGCAATTTTATGCATCATTGATTGAACTGTAGGATATCATGCTGAGTGAAGTCAGAAGGGAAGTGATTGATACAAAATAATTTTTCATATGTGGATTTAAAAAAACACAATAAGATAGCAACTTAGGGCCAAATACAACAAAATTGGAGAGCTGGTCAGCAGAACTGAATTTTTTTTGGGGGGGGGGTGGAGAATTAAACAGGAGGGGCCTTTGAGACCTGAGTGGAAAAGCAACTACTCTGGTAGTGGGTATGGTGTTGGAATGATGTGTGCATGAAACCAGTATTCATTGTTAACAGTATTGTAAATCATAGTACCTAAAGAAAGAAAAATTTAAAAAATTCATTACTTAACAGTCGTCAGGACCTAAGAAATTAACCCACAGTAGAAAGTTCATCAAGAATTCCAAGAGAGCACTTTAAATGATGTGGAAAATATTTGCTGGGTGTGGGAATGTGTCTAATATTTTTGCTTAGGCAAATGTAGACAAGAAGTGTTTAAAATAGTAGCTATAGTTGTTTTTTACTGCCACCACAACAAATTCCCTCAAACCAGGTACCTTTCAACAACAGAGCATGACTGGTGGTGCTCAGGATCACTCAGGGACCTTCCATGCTGGAGTTAGGAGCTGGGCCTGAGCTTTAAACTCTCTGGCCTGATTAGACAAATATTTCCACGAGTGGCCTCCAAGCACTGTTTGGGAGCTCCCCTCCAAAAATAACTCAGGAAATGGGATCTTAGAAGAAAGTCTATCACCTAACCTGTTCTCAGGTCCCAGGGATTAGGAAAAAGACATCTTTGGGGGGGGGGGGGGTTAAAGAATTCTACTTGCCACAAAAAGAATCTTTATTGAGCACTTATTAAGTGTTGGTTACTGTTCTAAGCATTCATCTGTAACTACATGTTTCAAATTCACACAACCTTATATAACTACAAGATAAAACTATAACTCAGGAAACTGAGATACAAAGAGGTCAGATAACTTGCTCACACTCACAAAACTCTTAGGCAGCCCGGTTGAGGTACAAATGCTCAACCTATATATAAAATGCAATCTATATAGCTATTCAATTTACATGCCTAGAAAGACCTTGGAAAGCTATTTGCCCCCATGAAGGATTATTTCTGATAATGGCATTATTCCATTGTTAAAGCGTACTTTTGTGAGTGTGTGCTTCCCAGTGTTTTCTGTGTTTTCCAAGTTTGGAGCAATATGCATGTGTGGGTAAGCTGAGTAAGAATGAAAAGTTATTATGGTAGCTCAGGGAGAAGAAAAAGAGTCCTCATCTGTCCTCAGTCCTCTGCAATCTAGTGAGGCTGAGTCCCTTGGCTCTTGCTGAAGTTTTAAAACACCAAAGCACCAGCAGAGGGCACTGCACACAAGCTAATTTGGCACACTTTTTCCTGTTCCATGTCAGTCACAAGCTCAGCTTGCCTTTCCAGGATTTGTAGCCCTTGATAAGAAGTTTTGATCTTTCCTTTGTCTATCAACCTGCTGAGAGAAACCCAGCACATCCAGAATACAACCAGGATTTCCGAATCCACCCAACACTTCTCTAAAAGACCTGTGAAAAGATGTTGGCTTGGGTTGGAAATAGTTTGATCAGAGAGGAAGAAATGATGCAGAACACAGGGATGAAATGAAAATGTAGGGATGTGGTAGAATTGGGATAAGGGTTATAAGAATTATTCACATAGAGGGCTGGAGCGATAGTACAGCGGATAGGGCATTTGCCTTGCACAGGGTCAACCCAGGTTCAGTCCCTGGCATCCCATATGGTCCTCTAAGCTCCAGCAGAAGTAATTCTTTAGTGCAGCCAGGAGCAACCCCTGAGCATTGCTGGGTGTGGCCCAAAACAACAACAAAATATAATGATTTTTATATCTTCTTGCTGAGGTGGCCCTGTTTGGAACTGTCCTTAATTTTGTGTCAGTCCTGGACTAAATGCCGTGTAGACTCATGAGCTCATCTGAAAAAGATTTATAAGAGACCAGCTGATGCAGTCATCTACCTCCATTCTTGCCCACATCCCAGACCCCAAGGAAGCCCAGGGATCATGAGGACCACAGTGAGGTATTTCCAGTATTATGATCCTTTCTTCGAGGGAGAGAGTCAACAGCAGGATAACAAGGGGGTATTAATATTAGGTTTGACTTTAAATCAAGCACATCCTGCAAGAGCTAGTGTTCTTCAGATTAAATCAGTTCCCTTTTCTTGTGTATTGGCATTTTTGTCTCTGGACTTGATGTTCAAAATTTATGTAAACCTAATGCAACTAAAACTGTGGGAGGTAACGGTGTAGGAGGCTATATCAGAGGAACAAAGAGAAGTAACAAGAAAAAACCTTGGCTGCTGGGAAATTACAATGGTGGATGGATGGGTGTTGGAACATTAAATGACTGAAACCCAAGTGAACAGCTTTGTAATGCTCTATCTTATGGTGATTCAATAAAAAATTAAAATAAAATAAAAGAAGAGCTTGGCACATTTCTCTTCCAATTGGAAGTAAAAGAAAAATAGACATTTCTCTTTTTTGCTGGTATTAGTGGGTTTCCCCGCTAAACTCCTTGGATGCTGTCTCTACCCACCCCTTAGTATTTATTTATTCCAGAAAGAAGACTGGAAGATGGTGCACACGTGCCCATAAACACACACACACCACCACCCCCCCCCCCCGCCCCCCAACACACACACACACTGGCTCTCACCCTGGGCCAGCATTAGTACCTGCCAATTCAAACATCAAACTGGTCTGCTATCTCAGCATCTGGTGATAGAAAGTAATTACCTTGGGTCATGGTATCTAGAGTCTATTCTCTGAAAATATTTATATCTCCTTCCCCGCCCTGATTACATCCTCCAAATTGGCTCAAATTGACCTTAAGACAAGGACGTTTCACTGGCATGTAGATGCCCGAGGCAAAACTGCATGTTTATTCTGAAAAAGAAAACCCTCAGCTCTGTCAAGAATTCTCTCATATATTTCAAAATATTGGATGTCATCGCTTACAGCATTGATCTGATTCTACCTTTGCTTTCTAGTCAAGAAAAACGAGAGAAAGAGATGAAGAGATGATGGTCACTCTCCTGTTCATGTCTGGGATACTTTTCGAGGAAGGAAACTGGATTCTAGAAAGGGCTGATGGTGTGGGAGGACGGGGAGAGGAAGAGCTAAGGAGAAAGGCAAGGCAGGCATCTTTGGGAGAAGGTGCTCTGGGTGAAGGTACTCACTCCTTCTCTGAGTTGTTGCTGGCGTTGGCATTGGCCCTGGCCAGGGGCCAGTCACTGCAGGGAGGTGGAGAGAAAGCAACTTGGGAATCTGAACTCTATTCTTATTGCTCCAACCCGTGTGTCCCAGATGGTTATTCTGCCATCCCCATCCTCCATGCCCCCCCCCCCCACCCCCACACACACCCATCTCCCTGCTTTGAGACCCACTTAGAAGGCCCAGAGATTTTATAGTCAGGGACAAACCTTTTTTTGTGTGTAACTAGTTAGCTCTAGGAAATGCCTTGGGGAATGAGAGGATGAAGCTCTGGCTGAACAAATGCAGGCTTCTGAATCCATGGGATTAGCTCTGAATCCCATCAACAGCCCGGATTTAGACCCTGCTGGATTTCTTGCAGCTTAACCTTGGGTTGGGTAGGGTGCTGTGTGCTAGGAGGAGCACAGAAAATTAAACCCAGACCCCAGGTACTCTCAGGAGAAGCTGGTCCAGCATCTTCCACACCAAAGTGGACACTCAGCTATGGTGACAAGCTGCCACCTGATCTGCAGCAGTGTGACTCTGAGAGCATTCCCAGGGACACCAGCTGCTACTTCTGCTGTGCAGGTCAAAAGCAAACCACCCTGGATAGAGGTGGTCCAGTTTGGGTATGTCCTCTACCCTCTTCCCCCCACCCTCGTCCCCCCACATTCATCTCAAAATTTCAGGGTTGTGGGTCTGGGTACATGGCTGGTGATGCAGGTGAGGTGCAGGCCTTGCATGCATCAAATATGTCCTATCTCCCTCTCCACAAAAGAAGAAATTAAAAAAAAAAAACCTATTTAGGGGCCACCTCCCTTGATCTGTAGGAGAGCCTGCTAGGAAGGCATGGGATGCTTTGACATGCTGCTGCATGTTGATTTAAAGCTGACCTGTGCAGTCCTGTGTTCAGAAGGAAAAGGTCTAGCCACCCATGTGTAACACATACTTTTGACACAGTGTTAGTACAGCAGGTACAGTATTTGCCTTGCATGCGGCTGACCTGGGATCAATTCCCGGTACCCTATATGGTCCCCCAAGCATGGAGCACCATGAGGAGTGATCATTGAGTGCAGAGCCAGGAGTAAGTTCTAAGCAACAAGGGGTATGACCAAAAGAAAAAAAAACAGATAAAAGAAAGCCAGCTGACCTTGCTGGTTGTCACTGTTGGAGGCCACGGGAATCAATGCTGGTCAGTGGTGACACTCTAGCCTGATGCTCACAACACTGTTTTCGATGCTGAGCATGGAACCTATTGCCCTTCTGATGCTTGGGCTGGCCCCTTTGGCCCCTGCTCCACTGCAACTCAAAATGCGTGTTTCAGGGTTAAACCTGAACATTTCCTGAGCAATCAAATCCCCATTCAGCTTCCTGGGTTGCCCCTCATCTCCCAAGACCAGACCCACAGAAGCACTAAGATTTGCCTTTGTGAACACTTTGCTTTGCTAAAAGGACGTGGCCTGAGGAGTCTAGTCTTGTGCCACATCTGATGACGCTGCTGAACTCTGTTCTGATTGTTCAGACTGTGTCCCAGGGGATTATTCTGCCATCCCCATCCTCCACGCCCATGGACAACACAGCCATCACTACAGTCTGAGGTGGAGGACAAGATCATGGATCCCTCAAATCAAGAAGCTCTGTGTTTGTCCCCTGGGAACTGTAGCCCAAAGATGCCAACTGCAGGGAAATCTCTCTGCCTGCTTCTTCATCTCCAAATTTCTACCCTCTGTGTCCCTGGGTAAGCCCTGAACAGACCACAGGACTTGCCGGCAGGATCCCTTGCTTTTCTGCACATGTTCTGGTTGTCACAGAGACCCCCTGAGGTCCCTTCACAGTCCAGGGAACCCCACGGCCATCATCTAAACTCCTGTGACATTTAGGTTGCACAGTGAAGCCCCTAGGTCAATAGGTCCCCAGCGAGGTGGCTGAACTGGCTGCTCCAAGCATAGTCATTGTAAGACAGTCCAACAGACACCCCTACTTTCTTTACAATGTACAATTCACTGTGTAATCACAAATTAAAATATCCCTCCCCTCTCTGTCTCCCCCAAGCAGATATAAACTACACAGATATATCCTGTCTGTTTCCCAGGCATTTCAGAACCTTCACAATCACCCCACCCTAGGACCCTTGGGCCCTTTTGAGATGCCCTTACTTAGTACAGCAGGTACAGTATTACCTGCTTTGACTCATGTGGCACAAAAACCAACAGTACTTTTCTCTACAATTATACAGGAACCACCTGTTCGGCTGTGACCAGGCTGGTTTCCTTGTTATATCTTAGAAATCTTGGCACTACCTAGAGAATTCAGCCAGAATTCAAGCTCCTTTTCAAGAAAAGAGGCTCTGAGTGAATGTCCACTGGTTTGTGGGGCTGAGGGGGGGTCCCCTGTTGATCTCTACTTATTTGTGGTAGTGGAGCACACCTGGTGGTCCTAAGGCCTTATTCCTGGCTATGTATTCAGGGATCACTCCTGGAGGGACTCAGGTGACCATAGAGGGTGCGAGGGATGGAACCAAGAACAGTCCAAGGGTCATAACCCCTATACTATCTCTCCAGCTGCCCCTTTGCCCAGTACCCTCCATCCATGTGGTTCTTAATCTCTCCCAGAATGTGGATGGGTCCCTTCCCAGAAGAATGGACAGAGCCCTAGGAATCAAATGTGTGGGTACCCCCTGAGGCTAATAGTGAAATTATGTGGGTTGTTGGTATGAGAGTTCCTAGAGATTTGACTTTTTTATGTCTATTTTTAATTGATTGAAGGAACATTAATTTACAAGTGCAACTGTTTATATGTTCTAGGGAACCAAAACTGCCACAATGTGCTCTCCCCCAAAGTACTTGCAGCCCTCCCTCCCTCACTGTCCATGGGACCAGCTCCCTCTGCTATGCTCTGCTTCCCTCAGGCGATCTCAGCTCTGTGGTCAGAGTACAAGGGTTTGTCCCTTAGCATCTCCTACCCTGGGAAACAGAGTCTCTCTCTCTCTCTCTCTCTCTCTCTCTCTCTCTCTCTCTCTCTCTGCCTGATGTTTGTGGGTCCCAGTGGGTGCTGTAGTGCTGTGTGGGGTTCAGTGTTGCTGGGGATCCACACGTGACTGAGGACTCAACTTGAGGCTTGTGCACAGTCCACATGCTCTACAGACAACACTGATCTAAAATCTCATGTTTTTATTTTGTTTTAACAAGGTGCATCATGGTGGTTTCTCAGCTGATGAGAACATTGTTGAGATCCCCTGCTAGCCACCTGAAGGCCCCTTGTTGGGTGGGATCAGTGGTCAGAAAAGGTGGGGGCTCTGCTCAAATGGTTTCCCCTTCTACCACACTATTTCGACTTGGTAGGGACTATAAAGACCATGCGTTGTTGCCCCCAGACACCTTCAATGAGTGGTTCATGGGCCGGTGCTTCAGGGCCACCCACAAGATGTTCCTTACCAGACTGAACAGCCAGTGCTCCCACAGGCCCGCGACCTGTCCTCCATTTTTGTTCCTTACCTTCTTCCTCTGTCTGGGGGATCATGGCTGCCCACATTTGGCTGGACACTGCTTTCTTGACTGGACACCTCCTTGAGCTCGCCTCCCCGAAAGTGGTCCAGAAAGGAATCAGGTCTCTGGTCCTCCTGGTGCAAATGCCGAGCGGCCCACGCACGCATGGAGATGATGAAGCGAGATAGCCTGAATGGCACAGACAGGAAGCAAAGGTGGAGCTGAAGGGTACAGGAAGCCCATTGTGGGGACAGAGTGAGAATAGAGAGGACTGGTAGGACATGGTACCTGCGCCTAGAGGCTCCAACTGGCACCTCCCCCCGGGGCAGAGTTTCCTCCATCAGGCCCTACTCAATGTGGCTTTGCTCTGCTAGCACCTGCATCGTTCCAGAGGCACTTGCTTTACAAGTGGGGCAGCAGCAAGCTTTCCTGCTTCTCATCCCAGGGTCCTGTGTGGAACTCTTTAATATGACTGAGCTGTTTCCAAATGTGATGCTATTAACAAGCCAGAGAGATAATACACTGGGTCAAGTGCTTTCCTTGCATCCTGCTGGCCATGGTTGGAATTATTATTATTTTTTTTGCTTTTTTGGGCCACACCCAGCGATGCACAGGGGTTACTCCTGTCTCTGAACTCAGGAATTACTCCTGGTGGTGCTCAGGGGACCATATGGGATGCTGGGAATCGAACCCAGGTCGACCGTGTGCAAGGCAAACACCCTACCCTCTGTGCTATTGCTCCAGCCCCCATGGTTGGAATTCTTGGCATATGGTCCCTGAGTACTGTCAGGAGTGATCCCTGAGTACAGAACCAGGAATAGCCCCTGAGCATTCCTGGGCATGGCCCAGATTCCCCAAATCAACCAACCAACACATAAATGTGAAGACAAGATCAGATGGATTCTCTCCCCAGCCCTTGTCTCAGTGTTCCATGATCTGTTCTTTCTTCTAGGTTCACCCAGAAGTTCCTTTGCAGCCTGCCCCAATCCCCCTCCAGAGCCAGGTATTGCCAGGGACTTAGGCCAGACAGCACCTATGCATAGCCTCAGAGCCTTTCTCTGCTGGAGTTTTCCCTAGAAGACCTTCTCAGATCCGCACCTATCTCCCTGTCTCTGCAGAAGGGTCATAGGAAGAATGACCCAAATGTTTCTTTGTGTCTGGTTTATCTACCTGGCTTCTGCTGTCTGAGTAGATCCCATTTACACTATGGGCAAAACAAGCTCAGAGCCCCCTTAACCCTACTCACACTCTAGTGACCTCAGCCTAGAAAATTAGTGGAAGTCACTGGAGAAAACATCCAGTGTAGAGACACTTCCTGCCCTACCCATCACTTCCGTGGGACAACAAAGTGACGAACACTCCTCTCTGTGGCCAAAACCAGCAGGTCACTCTAGCCCCTGACCTGGAGGTGGTGGGGCAAGGTAGGGGTCAACCAAGGCCATGGGTTGAAGGTTACTTTCAGCCAGTGCCTGTATTTCTACTAAGCTAACAAAGCCAGAAACAGAAAAGGCACATGGAAAAAGACACAAAGGCCATGCAACTGCAGCCCCCTGACTCCATTTCCATAATGTAGCTTAGCCTATACCATGCTTTGTGTCAGCTACACCTCTAACCTGAGTTGGTTTAACAGTGCTCTCCTCTCTGTCTCTGTTTTTGTCTCTGTCCCTGTCTCTCTCTCTCTCTCTCTCTCTCTCTGTGTGTGTGTGTGTGTGTGTGTGTGTGTGTATGTGTGTAAACATACCGAGTAGTGCTCAGGGATTACTCCTGACTCTGTGCTGAGGGGCAGGCTCAGGGGAAGATATGCAGTACTGGGGATTGAATCCTAGTTGGCTGCATGCAAGGCGAGTGCCCTAATCACTGTATTATCTCTCCAGCTTGTTCTCTTCTTTGCAAAGAGCCTTAGAACAACATTTGATTTGATTTCATTTGGGTTGGGGAAGCCATATATGGAAGTGCTTGGGGCTACACCTGGCTCCAGGCCAGGAGTCCCTCCTGCCATCACTCAGGAGGCCATGCAATGTCAGGGATAGAATCAGGCTTGGCCATATGCAAGACAAGTGCCCTAACCCCTGTGCAATCTCTTTAGCCCATGAGAGTATTTTATTCATAAGACAAAAATACCAGATATTACTTAAAAGTTCAACTACAATAAACCAGTGAAGGAAATGATGATCATCTTTTACCACAAAAACTGTGAAGAAGAAACAGTTAATTATTTGAAATAATCTTAACTAAAACCTGCAGAACATAGACCATTTGAATGGAAACAGCATTGTTTCAAAAGCTGGGTAGAAGCACACTCCACTCCAAAGTGACACACACCCCAGCTCAGTTATTTCTCTACTTCATAGGAGACTCTTGTTCGTGTTATCTCTCCTATGGCTTAAATAAAACTATTCTGCTTCCAAAATAGCTGTGGAAAAGGAATCACAGCTCAGCATTGGTGAATCAAGGGTGGCAGTCCAGGTAGGCACCGACAGATGAGTTGCTAGATGAGGCTAGAAAAAGTGAAGTGACTGTCTGGAGGTGGTGCAGCTATTGCAGCCGAGTGCAGATGTCCTCTCCAGGGAGACAGAGACGAGGATTTCCAGGCAAGTGCTCTGCCAGTGGGCCACCTCCCCTGTAGCCACGCCTTTGAGGACCTGCAGATGCTGCTGTGCTTTGTGCCTCTGCAGCCCACCCTGTGGCCTCTCGCTGCTGGCTGGTGGGTCTTTGTTCTCAATCTTGTCCTGTTTTCTGAATTGTTCCACAACTAAGCAACTAACCTACTATTATCCTTTATTAAAACCCTTTCAATTAGGGGCTAGAGAGATTATATGGGAATTGAGATGCTTGCCTTATACAGGCCTAGCCCCATTTCTATCTTCAGCATCACATAAGGTCCCCAAGCACCACCAGGAATGACCCCTGATCACCATGTCCCAAATAGCCCCCAAACTCTTGTCGGTACTGACAAAAACAAGCAAGCAGATATTTTATAAATGAAAGGCAGTTCTTAGACTTTTCTGAGCTCAGAACTCCTGGCCCAGAAACGACTCACTGGTTCCCATCAGCTCTGCTTCTGCCCTTTTCTTCTCCAACCCAGTCATAGCAACTTCTTTCTGAGAGTTAAGTGCCTTCTTTCCTTCTCAGTTTCCCCCTACCTCTTAAGGCTGGGACAAGTCTTACCTGGCAGGCCCTGGGCCAGAGAAGGGGCTTTCTCTGGATCCGGCCAGCCCTCTGATCTCCATGGCGATTCCTTGCTGTGGCTCTGCTGACATCTCCTCATGCGGCCGGTGGGTCCTAGGAAATCAAATATGCAGCATACTAAATTGATTTTAAGCTTCTCCACCTCCTGGACACACTCAGGAATGAGATGCCAGATGCCTTGCTTAATGAGGAGAGCTGCCTCCACTAATCTCAGCCAAGGGATTGCCCTCAAGTTCAGGTTCTGCGCATCTGAGTTTTAGGATAAATGTGGCCTTTCCTTTGTAGCAAGCATGAGCCTGGAAGGCAGTGTGTGTCCAATTGTTGCCATGGGACAGATGAAAGGCAACAAGCCAACAGAGATGGTCCTTGTGAGAGCACAGGATGGGGGAGGTCCAGGCACTTTTGCCATTTCAAACAGAAAAACTGATCCTGCTTGGAGAATGCAGGAGGAGGATTCTGGTTTAGCCACAGTTCTGCATGCTGAAGTCTTTTCTTCTTCTATCTTTTTCTTGTGGGGTGGGGGTGGGGTGGGGGAGTTTGAGGTCATACCTGGTAGTGCTCAGAGGTTTCTCCTGGCTCTGTACTCAGGGATCACTCCTGGTGGTGCTTAGGGGATCATAGGGGTACCAAAGATCCAACCCAGGTTAGCCACATGTATGGAAAACACTCCACTCACTGTACTACCCCTCCAGCCTTTGAAATCTTGTCTTCTAAGGCTAGATCAAATGCTACCTCCTTCAAGAAGCATTCTGCCCACTGTGCAGCTGTGGGTTCCTGAGTGAGCAATTATTAGGGTGTATGCCTGGTGACCAGGGCTCATAAGCCATAAGCCACACCCTGCCGGCACCAGATAATCTCCTCATTGGTCACCCTCCAGAACTCATGGCTGCTCTTACCAGATGGGAGTATAAAGTGAGGCCCCCATAACCTTGCCACTGGCCTCCGCGCCAGGCTGTTTTCAAGAGCCCTCCTTGCCCCAAGGGACCCAGCCCCTATAGCCAACATCCACTACCCAACTGCCGCCATGCTCCAGGCTGCTTTCCGGACCTCACAGCCACAAACCCGCAGCCACATCATAAGACACTTCCTACCCATTTTCCATAATTACCACACTATGTTTGATGGGATTCAGACAATAGGCAACAAATCATAGAGAAATATGTATATCTATATATATATTTTGCTAAAGGTAAAGGTATATATATATATATATGAGCCCAACAAGATACCAAGAGTATCCCACCTGCACAGCAGAGCCTGGCAAGCTAGCCTTGGCATATTCGATATGCCAAAAGCAGTAATAATAATGGGTCTCATTCCCCTGACCCTGAAAGAGCCTCCAATACATTGGGAAAAACAAATAAGGAGAGGTTGCTAAAATCTCAGGGCTGGGACGAATCAGACGTTACTGGCACTAGCTTGAATAAACTGAAGAACAACGTGATGACAGTGATATGGTGAAACAATGTCTGGTGGATTTGCTGGAAGTTCTCTGGCTTCCAGCAGAGGAAGATTCCAGAATATTGCTTGGAATTGGTCTAATCTTCCTTGTGTTGGTTTAGTGCTTGCAAATGAAAATCTATCCAGCATGCTGTTTGGCCACATCCTAAACTCTGTCCCCTACAACACAAGCCTAACTGGGCTGGTGACCTCACCTCTGCTGCTCAAGGTGAAGAGCATGAACACGCATAGGACAAAGCTCTCAATTTCACTGAGTGTAGCACACAGGCAGAGTCGTGGGTGTGGAGCTGCCTGGAATAGGACTGATGTACTGGGCCTCTTTTCTTTTCTTTTTCTTTTTTTTGTTTTGTTTTGGTCACACCTGGTGGTGCTCGGGCCTTTCTCCTGGCTCTAAGTTCATGGATGACTCCTGGCAGGGCTCTGGGGTGCCATATAATGTGCCAGGAATCAAACCTAGATCAGTCATGTGTAAAGCAAATGCCTGACTTGATGTACTATTTCTTCAGCACTTTCTTTTCTTTTCTTTTTCAAGAGGATAATGCTTGATCTGCCTCATTAGAAGCCATCCAGGCACTGTCCTCTAGGGTTTTGTACATTTTTCTGAGTCTTGAAGAGTCTAGGCAAGACAAATGATTTTTTTCACGTGACCTGTTTCAACCTAATCAACCTCTTAACAAGGTGGCCACAGGCTTGAAAGAGAAGGCAAGCGTTAATGCAGGGAGAGAGTTCTGCCTCCCCAGAGAGTGATTAGAAGCCAGAGTCCCAAGCCCCTGCTGCTGCGCTGCCAATGCCCTTGGCAGCCTCCCCTCCACCACCAGCAGCAGGCGTGAACTGCTCCATTTTGAGGTCTGTAGGGGGCTGGAGTGATAGAACAGCAGGCAGGGTACTTGTCTTGCATGAGGTTTGGCCTCCAGCACCTCATATGGTCCCTCAAATCATGCCAGGAGCGATCTCCAAGCAGAGAGCCAGGAATAAGCCCCGGGTACCACCAGGTGTGACCCATCTCCTTCCTCTAAAAAGTACTGTAGGTTCTTCCCTGCTTCCCTCAGCTTCCCCTAGCAGGACTGCTTCTGCTGGAATCACATGGAACCAGGCAACTTCCTCTTGCATCTTCCTATGTCAGTGATAAGGCCACGTACATCCGTGCCACTCCTGGCTTCACACTGGAATCACCAGTATACCCCTGTGTCCTGCCTCAAGTTCAAGTGTCTACTGCCAGCCTCTGAACTTCCATAGTCAGCTTACGTGACAGGTGAGACACAGACCACCCTGATACTTCTGAAAGGTCTTTGTAGAAACATTTGTGAGCTTCTTTGCAACTGGTAAGCATAACCCAAAGTCCTAGAGAACAGATGCGGCTAAGCCAGAAGTTTTTATTTTGTGCATGTTCAACTGTCTTTTTAAAACTATGTACTGGATGTTTTTCTTTACCTGAGTCACTGCATGGTTAGAGACCCTTGGAATACAGTGGCCTCTCCTGACTCCATCTCATCCACCAGTGAGATATACAGACTGCATACCACTTACTGATTACCCCTGGACCTCTGCTATGTGCCTCTAGCAAGCACTTAATCTACATAGTGGTCCTCCTATATGCGAGGAAACTGAGATGCAGAGAAATTAATTAACTTACCCAAGGGCACACAGCCACGTGGACAAACTGAGATTTGAATTCCATTCTATTCCAGTTTAAAGTCACATATATTCTATAAAGGTGCCTACTCTATTTTCACAGGAAGCAAACATTTAACAGGACATGAGCCCTGTGGTGTGCCTGACTCTGATCCACACAGATGCACCACGTGTACATCTTCTTCCAAGAAGAATCCCACAGAGGCACAGAAGTGATGATTTCCTGGCTTTTCTATTATTCTCTGTCTGATAAAAAAAACCACCTTCCACAGCTGCCAGATCAGTAGGAGAAGGAGGGGGGGGGACAAGGGAGTCTGTCTCTCCAGCCCTGGATCCCATCGGCTGGTGAAAGGGGACATGAGCATAATTAAGTGCTAGACTAGAAATCTTCCAGGACATGGACCTGGAAAATACCCAAAGATGCGGTGTTTTGTCATCCCCAGCCCCTTCCAGTAGCTCCTCTGGCATCAAGGAGCGGGCCCAGCATCTGGTCTCTGGTTTCTGTTTGTTATGATCCATCTGCATTAGCTGTAAGGCAATCAATGCCCAGGACAGCAGACTGGTGCACTCGCGAGGAGGGCAGAGTGCACCTCAGATTTCAAAGCAGGGCTGCTCCTAGGACTCCTGTGGGCTGAATCAAGGAAACCTGCCTGTAGGGGGAGGCAGCAGAGTGGCAAGCTAGGAGCCTGGGCTGACTATCTGACACCCTTCCTGCATGACGGAAGTCATCAAAAGGAAATCAGAGACCAATCATGGATTTCACATGGATTCAGATATCTCCTAGAGATTCAAGTCTAAAAGCACATTTAGACTGGAAGAACCTGGAGAACCTCATTCAGTGGAAGGAAATTCCTGGGGCTCATGGGGTCTTTTCTTTCCCGTGCATCTCTGATCTTGTGTCCTACTGCCCAAAGGACACGTCTTCCACATTCATGTCTTTCCTGGAGCTGTGGAGAGCTAGGATCCTCATTAAATGCCTAGGAATGGAGGAAGGCATTTAAATATCAAACTCAATTAGTTGTTCCCCATAGAAACTGACTGCTTAGCAGATAGGTGCCCTTCGCGGGTAGGGGGAAGCCTGGTGTGAGAGCAACCCGAGCCACTCCTGGTGGCATTTGGGAGGCCGTGTGTTGCAGGAGATTGGATCTGGAGTCCCAAGCATGACAGATATTACACCTCACCTCAGCTCTTGGAGTTGTCACCCCAGCCCCTAAAGTGCTATTTTAAGTCTGTAGGACTTAGGGAGAAACTGTTGGCAATCAGTGTAATAATGGAGCTCCAAATCTTCCAGGGAAATATGGAGGTAGGAACGATTGGGGTACCATGCAGCTGAATGCAGGGCCTGGACTGGTGGGGGGAGGGAGTCAGGACCTTGGTCTGTAGTTGGGATTCTAGATCCTGATCATGCCTGGAGGAAGAAGCCTCAGGAAATGGGAAATCAGCACAAACAAGAGCAGCTAGTACCACACAACTAAGCAACTGCTTTGAAATTCAGGACCATGTTTTGTGTGTGGCACTCGCTCTGCTGCTTGGTGGTAGGAAGGACTTTCAGGGTGTCCTGCAGGTAAGTTCTGTCTCTGAGAAAGGTCCTTCCAGAAGCGGAGCTGCTCATTGACTTGCATCTGGGGAGTAGCAAGTTTTCCTCTGGTGATGTTGGACCACGAGAATAAACAGCAGTGATCTTTTAGAAGGGTGGAGATTAGGACCCCTATTTATTGTCCTTCTCTTCCTAAGCCTTTAATAATTGGCATCCACAGCCCTTGGCCCTGTGGGACAGGGAGTACAAGTCCCAGCCATTCGTCAGTGTGGGGGCAGTGTGCTGGACCAGTTTACTTCGGTGATAATTGCTTCGAGATCCACTCGGGGAGCAGCATCAAGCAGCACCAAGAAGGTACATCTTCCACGGGATACAATACCCAATGCCCCCAAAACACCTAAAATAGCTAGACTGAAAGACTGCTCTGGGATGTGGAGTACCCTGAGTCCCAGCTGCCATTCTCTAGAGCAAGTTCTGAAGTCTTTCTCTGTCTGTTATCTTCAAAATACGCCAGACAGTCTTTAAAATTGTAGCCATGAAACAGATCTAAATAAATCAGAGAACTTCAAGACATTTTAATTTTGGGTATTTTCAGACATGGGCTTAACATTTTCATCCCAACGAACTGCCTCATCTTTTATCTCTTTTTACTGAGAAAATTATTCCAGTCATTTGAAAAGAAAACTAAAAGTGGGCTTCCAAAGGGGTGGTCAGCCCAGGGGTGGGGATGCCTGAGGTAGCAGGAAACACTTCCCTCTGAGGGAGCACTCAGCACAGACTGGGTGCCCAGCACCCTGATCTCTAAGAGATGAGACATCTGTTATCTCAGGATGCATATTTACACTCACTTCTCCTGAAAAAGTTCTAAAAGAATTGGCACTTTGAGGCACTTTGAACAACTCTGGTTGTTCAAATACTATTTCTCTGGTGGTTCAAATACCATTTCTCCCCTCCTAAAATAATAATATGAAACTTATTTTTTTTTCTGTTTAATTTTTGTTTGGAGGCTATACCTAGTGGTGCTCAGGGCTTACTACTTGCTCTGTGGTCAGGGGTCGCTCCTGGTGGATTTGGGGGTGTCTTACAGGATGCTAAGGATGGAACCGAGGTCAGCCAGGTGCAAGGTGAGTACCTTCCCCATTGTGCATTTCTCTGGACCTTACAGTTTAAAAAAATGTGCAACAGGTTTTCAAGTAATATCATTTCATTCAACATCATTTTGTGGTAACATTGATGAGAACATAAAGAAATAAAAAAGATCCTTAGTCATCCAGGACCACTAGGTTTATTGAACTGGGTTGGGTGGGGAGCCACACATGCCATGTCCATTTGCATCTTCTTATCCTACACTGATTTCATTTGAATCCCACAGATGAATTCGCTGAGTGTCTTCACAGACCCAGTGTGGGGTGTGTGAGGGTGCCTGACATGGAAGTGCTGTCCTGCATCCTGACTCCAGAATTCCCCCCCTCAGAAGCTTGGAGAGGACAGATCCCTCACTCAGCTTGATCTGGGGTAAGCAGGTAGAAAAAATAAAGAACAAACAACTACAGAAGGGTTTCCTATTAGAAGCTTAGGGGTCTATGATGCCACCATAGCCATGCCACTAGACTCCGTGCTAGGCTGTTTCACTCGGGGTACCCCAGAGGGGGGTGGGTGAGTGCCCTTCCCACCCCAATGGACCCAGCCCTGGCAGCCAAAAACTACTAGAACCCAACTGCCACCACACTCAAGGCCGTTCCCCACATGCTTGGGCCAAGCCTCACATATGAGTGAACATATTCCTGAACCAGTGACACATCCTAAGACACTCCCTACACATTCTACATAAGTACCACACCACATTTGATGGGGGTTCAAATAGTAGGCAACAAATTATAGAGGGAAATATATATGTATATATATGCACATATACATAGTTTCAGATATATATACACTAAAGCTCACATCACTCAACCTCTAACAACATGTTAGTGATATTCTAAAGAATATCTTAATGGCTCCTGCCAAAATAGAACAATCTTCACACTGTCTCCTCTATGAATACTTTTTTGTAGCATTTTCAGCGGTTTTCCATTACAGACAATACAAAATATATTATTTCTGTTGTTCTTTGGGACAGGGATTGGGGCTTGGAATGGAAATATCCCAAATTTGGTGGTGGGAAGATGTAATGGTGGTGGGATTAGTGTTTGAATATTAACTGTAATCAAATATTGTGAACTGCCTTGTAAAAAATTTTAAAGAAAAGAAGCTTAGGGGTCTCTTTTAGAAGTTCGGTCATGGTTATATCAAGTTACACATATGAATTGCTCATGGTCTTTCTCTGTGAGTATAGATCAGAATCAGGAATAACCTCTCACAAGTCTAAAAAGAGAAGTGTGTCTTACCTGTCAAGGCCATTTTCAAGGTGTTCAAGATCTCTGTCCTTGCTCCTTACATGAGGGTGGCTTAGGGAAGAGTGAGAGTATTGGGTGCTAATCTTGTCCATCTTCTAGCTCTGTCACAGACAGCCCAAGGTGCTACTGAAAGAAGGACAAAAGGCAGATGTGTCATCATAATGGGAGGTATCTTCAGATCTATTTTACTGCACATCGAGGAGACAGATACTTAGATGTACGGTCAGCTAATCTTTGATAAACAAGAAATGTTTATCAAGAAATATGAAATGAAGCAAGGAAATCATCTTCAACAAGTGGTGTTGGGAAAACTAGTTGGTGACATAAAAAAAAAGAACTCAGACCTCTTTCTGGCACAAAAGTTAAATTAAAATGGACTGAAGACCTTAATATCAGAACTGAATCTATAAGGCACATAGAGAAAAATATAGGCAGAACCACCTTCACCCCCACCCCCATGACATTGAAACTGGAGGCATCTTTAAGAATGAAATGCCACTGACCATGCAAGTAGAAGCAAAGACAAACAAATGGGGCTACATCAAATTAAGAAGGAAAAGGAAAATAAGGGAGGGAGAGAGAGAGAGAGAGAGAGCGAGAGAGAGAAAGAGAGAGAGAGAGAGAGAGAGAGAGAGAGAGAGAGAGAGAGAGAGAGAAGAAAAGTATGTGCCATAGAGGCAGGCTTCGGGGTCAGGGTAGAGGGTAGGAGAGAGAGAAACTGGGGACACAGGTGGCAGGAATTGTGCACTGGTGAAAGGATGGATGTTGAAACATTATATGACTGATACTCATGGTGATTAAATTAAAAATTTAATTATGAAAAAGTAAAATAGAAGAACAAAAAATAATTAAACTTCTGCTTCTCAAAGGAAACAATAACCAGAATATAAAGACAGCCAATAGACTGGCAGAAATATTTTTCCCCACTACTATCTGATAAAAGAATAATACAAGATATATAAAGCACTGGTAGAACTCTACAAGTAAAACCCCTTCAACCCAATAAAAAAATAAGGATAAGAGAGTAACAGAAATTTCATCAAAGAAACACAAATGGCCAAGATGCATATAAAAAAATCTCTATTTAAGTAATCATTAGAAAAATGCAAATAAAAAATGAGATATTGGGGCTGGAGCAATAGCACAGCTGGTAGGGTGTTTGCCTTGCATGTGGCAGACCCAGGTTCGATTCCCAGCATCCCATATGGTCCCCCGAGCACTGCCAGGAGAGATTTCTGAGTGCATGAACCAGGAGTAACTGCAAAAAAAAAAAAAAAAAGAGATATCATCTCAAACCAGGGACTGGCATTCATCAAAAAGAACAACTATCACTGTTGATAAGGAGTGGGGAAAATGCACCCTCATTCACTACTAGTGGGACTGTTGACTGGTCCAGCTTCTTTGGAAGACAATATGGACATTCCTCTAAAAACCTGGAATTGAGATTCCATACAACCTAGAAATTCCACTCCTGGGACTATATCCCAAGGGCCAAGAGTACAATGCAGTAAAGTCATCTGCACATGTTCACTGCAGCAGTATTCAAAATAGCTAATATCTGGAAACAATCCAAGTGTCCAAAAACAGATGACTGTATAAAGAAATTATGGTACATATACACACTGGACTACTGCTTGGCAGTAAGGAAAAAGATGAAGTCATGAAATGTGGTGCTACATGGATGGATCTGGAGAGTATCATGTTGAGTGAAGTCAATATCTATGATGATCAGAAAATAGGATTTTTAATATTTACATTCAGAAGCAATCATTTGAAAAATCAGGATTGGGAAATGGGCACTGGTGGAGGGATGGGTATTTGATCATTGTATAATTGAAACCCAAGCACAAAAATTTGTAAGTCTACAACTGTACCTCATGGTGTCTCACTAATAAAAATTTTTTAAAAATCAGGATTGTTCAATTGCAAAGATTACTAAAGTCAATCTCTCTCAGCTTGGATATTAAACTGTTATTGGTTAAAGGATAATTAGAAAGTGAATGACATATATTATTGCCCACTTATAAACGTTGTAATTCTAAGACCTTGAAGGATTATCAGATGAGACTCACAAATGAATCTTGGAACCAAGCAGCTCACTGCATAGATGTTTCCAGACCTTGTGCCAGGCTGATTTCACCGGGGTGCCTCAGCAGGAGCAGGTGTCCCCTCTCTGCCTGCTCCAAAAGAACCCCGGCGGCCACAAACCTCCAGAACCCAATCACCACCAATCTTATGGCAAATCTTCACAGGCTCATCCTGGGCCCCCCATGCAAGAGAATAAATCCGCTGAAAAACCCAGGTATGTGGGACTGAAAACACCAAGCCTCAGGGGGTCAGGACTGGGCCGCCCCTTCCCATCTCCCAGCCCTTCTGGTGTTCTGGCTGTCACACCCACAAACTGCCTCTGGGTGCCATCTAAGCACATTGATGGTTGTGATCTAGAGATTCACAAATGAATCTTGGAACCGAGCAACTCACTGCAGAGATGTTTCCAGACCCCAGTTATTTAAAATTTTAGAATTCCAGGAGAGCATGGCAACTCCTGAAGATGCGCAACATCTCATACTTTATTTTTTTTCCTACTTTTTTGTTGAGTCACTGTGAGACAGAGCCTTACAGACATCTCATACTATTTTTAACAAAGCAATACAAAATAGCATCTCCCTGTGAGGTAGGCTTGAGTAGTGGTGGGAAAATTCGAAATAATGGTGGTGGGATTGGTGTTGAAATATTGAATGTAATCAATTATTGTGAACAACTTTATGAAATAAAATTTAAAAATTAATAGAAAAGTTTATCAGATGATTTTACCCTCAAGTGGAATATGAATAACTAAAGCAAATGAACTGACAAGAGACAACAAAACTAACTTCTAGACTCTGAAAAGTCTTATGTAACTAGAAGGAAAGAGGAGGGGAAAGGAGGAGAATGAGCAAAGAGAGGTCATTTTACTTGTGGAATGGCACTGGAACATTGATGGTGGAATTATAAACCAAACAAGTCAGTGAAAACAGAAGGACTACTTCTTTGGGTGGTTTTTAGCAACCATTAGTGATCATTGCTGATATATCAATCAAAATTGAAAATTGATGATATTCAATTAATCATTTTATTGATTAGTGGACGTTTTCTTTGAGACGGGAGGTTGGGTCTACCTGGACAGTACTCAGGTGACTATATGTGGTCCCCAGATAGGGTTGTTGTTACAGCCACATGCAAGACAAATATGAATGATCTCTCTAACCCTTGAAATTTTAAAATAAAATTTTACTTACCATTGACCTGCTCAGTGGTAAGTTCTTACATAAAGGCAATATAAGCACTTAGTTCTTGCTCTTCAAAGTTAATCCTATGTCCTTCAAGAGCAACCAGTGCTGGCATGGATTCAGGGAGAAAAGGACTCTCATTCATTGTTGGTGGGAATGCCAACTGGTCCAGCTTTTTGGGAAAAAAATATGGGCATTCCTCAAAAAACTAGAAATAGAGTTTTAATATGACCCAGCTATTCCACTTCTGGGAATATACACCAAGAGGGAAAAAACACACAGCAGAAAAACATCTGCCCTTCGATGTTCATTGCAGCACTATTCACAATCGCCAGAATCTGGAAACTACCCGAATGCCCAAGAACAGATGACTGGATAAAGAAACTATGGTATGTCCACTCCTGGGAATATATCCCAGAGAGGCAAAGAAGTATAGTTGAAGTGACATCATCACTTGTTTGTTCATTGCAGCACTTTTTACAATAGCCAGAATCTGGAAAAAAACCTGAGTGCCTGAGAACAGATGACTGGTTAAAGAAACTTTGGTACATCTACACAATGGAGTACTATGTAGCTGTTATAAAAGATGAAATCATGAAATTTACATACAAGTGGTACTACATGGAAAGTATCATGCTATGCGAAATGAGTCAGAAAGAGAGGGACAGACATAGAAAGATTGCATTCATCTGGGGGAACATAAAGTAACAAAATAGGAGACTAACACCCAAGAATAGCTGAGATAAGTACCAGGAGGCTTACTCCATGACTTGGAGGCCAGCCACACATGCTAGGGTAAAAGGCAGCTCAGAGAGGGAAGGGAGCACCAAATAAAGGGTGTTGGGAGGATCCTCCCAGGATGGGAGATGCATGCTGAGAGTAGACTATAGACTGAACATGATTGCCACTCAATGCCTCTTTTGCAAACCACAGCACCCAAAAGGAGAGAGAGAACAAAAGGAAATGCCCTGCCACAGAGGCAGGGTAGAATGGGGGGATAGGGGGTGGGAGGGATAATGGGATCCGTGGTGGTGGAAAATGGGCACTGGTGGAGGGATGGGTACTTGATCATTGTATAATTGAAACCCAAGCACAAAAATCTGTAAGTCTACAACTGTACCTCATGGTGTTTCACTAATAAAAATTTAAAAAAAGAAAGAAACTATGGTATGTCTACACAATGGAATACTACCCAGTCACCAGGAAAAATGAAGTTATGAAATTTGCTTACAAATGGATGCACATGGAAAGTATGATGAGTGAAATGAGTCAGAAGGAGAGGGATAGACATAGATGGTTGTACTCACTTGTGCGATATAAAGAAACATAGTATGAGACTAATACTAAAGGACAATAGAAACATGGGCCAAGAGGATTGGTCCATGGTTGGAAGTTTGCCTCAACTGCTGGTAAGAAAATATTTGAGAACAAGAAGGGAACATCATGACAATGATGGTTGAAAATGACCAGTCTGGATAAGAACTTCATACTGAAAGTAAGTAAAAGAACAAACAAAGATGATAACCTCTCAGTACCTGTGTTGTAAACCATAACGCCCAAATGGAGAGAGTGAGTAAATGAGAGAGAGAGAGAGAGAGAGAGAGAGAGAGAGAGAGAGAGAGAAGGAAAGTGGTGGACAGATAGGTGCTGGATCATTGTATGACTGAAACCCAATTATGAACAGTTTTGTAATGGTCTATCTCAAGGATATTCAATGAATAAATTAAAAAAATTTAAAAGTAATGTGGAAAATAAAAAAAGGAGAAAAAAATAAAAGCAATATGGATTTCATGCCCAATTCAATCAGCTTAATCAATGACTGAATAACTAACAGT